CACAGAGATTCTAAGCTTTCTAGTCAGATCTTTGGTAATGTAGTTATGTAGTATTAACATGGTGGCAACAGGCAATGCCATCGGAGATTTTTTTTTTAAAAATTATCTCATCTGTCCATAAAATTTGTGTCAATAAAATTGAAATTAAAGGTCACAAGCTGCTTTAAATGCATGGACACTAAATTTATAGAAAATGATAGTGAATTTCATTATTATTCATTATTCTCATATCATTTAAAAATCTCAAGACAGGAATAGACCTTGTGAGTCCAGCAATAACACATTTTGTACCTTTTCCTGAGATGGACTTGGGTCTCAGAATGCAGATTCATTTTGTTAGTCATGGTGTATCCACCTCTATCCTTAGGATACTTGGAGTGAATGCGCTAGTATTTGTGTCTATTACATCATCTACCATGTACGTGAGTATGTGTGTGCTCCTGTGTCTGTTTGTCTTGAAATTTTGTTATATCTTTGCCCTTCCCAAAACTCTCTGAGGTCAAAGGTGGTATCTTGTACATCTTAGATGTGCATAGGCACACTGATGTTTAAAAATATTTGTTTTCCTTGTTCAAGTCTATCACAATTCTTTTTTTTTTTTTTGCTTTTTCCTTTATTGGTACATTGTAGGTATATGACAGAGTTATATTCATCATTGGGATCTTGTACCTTTGCATGATATATCTTGATTCTTAGTTTTTTTCCATTTCTCTGCCCTGCCTTCACTTGAACTAATAATTTTTCCATCATTTAACTTAGAAATAGAAGAATAATTTTTATACCACTGTATTTAGTTCTCCAAACTTGTAACCTGCAATCTTTCTTAATCTGAAAGCTAGGAATAATAATACAAATTTACCTATACGCTAAATTCAAAAGCAATATAAAACAAAAATATATAGTATAACATATTTTAACAATTCTTTGTTCTTATTTTTCCCTATTCCCCAGTCCTCCCTTCAACCCCTCTACCCATCCATATTTGCAAAGGCTTTGATTCTAGTTTTTTCCTTTTCTCATTTATGACCATCCCTTCTTTCCTTTCCCATACCAGTCCCTCTTCTTCTTCCCATTTAGGCCTTTCTTTGTATTTCACAATATCTATTATAAATATCAACATATTGAATACCTAAAATGTATCAATAAAATTAATGAAAAAATTTAACATTTGCATATGCTATTTTAAATAGAAAAGAAATAGAATGCACAAAAGTTAGGAAAAAATGAGAGAAGTCAATAATATTTTTTAGGACACTGAAAGTTTCCTTTTACAGTACTTACTATATATCAACTCCTGATCTCAGTGTGTACCTTTTGAAACTTTTATTTCATCTAGCAATCTTGAGTAAGAAAATTTCTAATCTATATTTAATGAAACTAATTCCTAAGCAAAGTACAATGCATCAAGCAACCACAGAGATTTAAAGAAATTAAAGTAAATGACAAATAACCCCAGGGATCCTCTAATCAAAACTGGTCTCCATTTCCTTCAGTCATTTTTATCTTTTTCATGTAATCAAATTAATCAAAATACATTTCTAGCTTATATACAGTGGCATCTATTTTATGAACTTAATTTGTTTTATAATTTTGGGGAAGAGGGATGTGCTTAATTTTGTTACTCAATGTAGAGATTGTGAAGGGAAAAAAATGCTGAGTGTGTTTGTTTGGGAACTGAATTGTTTGCAAACAGAAGTGTTTGTGAACCAGAAGGTATTACTGGATCTTTCTGAATATTAATGAGAAAAGTTGCATTTGATAGCTAAAATATTGGGGGTAATCTCAGTGAGAGACTTAGCAGAATGGGTAGAGTGAAGAGAAAGTCTGATCAAACATATCTGCGAATACATGGAAGTTTATAACTAATATCTGAACTTGAAGCAGGACTGCCAGGCCTTCTCCACAGAAGAGGGCTTCCTATCCTGATCAGCACCATGAATGGCCAGGGGAAAGGTATGTGCATCAAACAGTGAGATGTTGGCTTCATCAAATCCAGGGTGGGTTAATGTGAAAATGTAGCTAAAGACAAATGTCCCAGGTTTGTATAGTTTAGAACTATCTAAATGTTGCTCTGGAAAGAAATTGCACAGGGCACACAAGAATGTTTCAGAGGTCCTCCAGTGGTGGAATCCTCCAGTTTTGGAGATTTGGCTATGGCAGGAGACCTTTTGCATTAATTCTGGTACAGGTGGGGCAGTGAGGGTGCTTTTGGTGTCTAAGTGGAAAAGGAGAGAGGGCTGCTAATCATTCTGCAGTGCAGGGCAGATCCCAGAACAAAAAATTATGTAGCTCAAAAGTCAGTAATGCTGAGATTGAGGAACTCTGGGCTAGCATAAGACCACAAGAGTCATTGGTTCCAATGCACAGAACTCCAGAAAACAGAAAATAACATTTTCTGGTTCGTGGGTCTAATATATGAATGGGCCAACTTGAGCCAACCTAATGAAACTTTCGATTCTGAAGCCACAGTACAGACAGTGATGGCAGATGGGTAGCTCATGAGGCTTTGTCAGTTTGGTTCAAGCACAATGTCCTTTCAAAAAAAGGAAGAGCAGGTGAGTGTTAATTTGAGTAAATGACATTTGTAAGAAAAATAAATTAGAAAATATTTCTGATATGAAGAACAGATTCACCAGTCTACTTCTCACAGGCTTTGGAAAACCCTATGGTGACAAGTGTGTGTATATGTGTGCTGATTGTTCAAGAACATCTATTCAGTGATGAACTTCCTGCAGCTGCTACCTGTTTCTCTATTTGCAAAGCACTTTTCGATCACAAATATACGTAAAATTTGCATGTGTCTTCACTAAATTACTACAACATGATTACATTTAAATTTTCTAATCATTAAAATTTTGGAAAGTAAGATTATATAATATGAAAGAATGTATGTTGTTTTAATTTTGCAACCAACTGGTGATTCAGTTCCATTCTCCATGAAAATATTGATGTACACTTATTTATTTTAGGTATTTGCCTTTAGGAATTACTCACATAAAAATCATTAATATTTGCATAGGTCTTCCTTGGAGATTTCAACCCCCATTTATCAAAGGTTTTATGGAAGTCAGTCTTCTGGTTATTGCACTTTTATATAAAAAATTCCATTGGAATAGCATCAGTAAAGGGAAACAGTGATTTTAATTTTGTAGTTACTGTTGTCTCTTTTCTTTTTGAGCACCAATTATTGAAATTATTGAAATAACAAATTTAAGGAACTGCCTCTGACCACTGTCAAAGATTTTTATGTGAGAGTTTCATAGAGCAGAGGTCTATAAAATTAAACTTCTGAGAGGCCCTGTTATCCAACACCCATGGCACAGAGCCATTCTTCTTGGTGACCGTCAGCACTCTGCACACACTGCACCCATGGCCTCTGCTGTTGTCCCTGCTGTGCAGGTGCTCCTGAGAGCCTACAGGTTAGCATGAGGGAGGAGGGGTAGGGCAAGTTTGAAAGCCCATCTGCCAATCCCAGGACTTGGGGAGACTCACTTAACCTCGCTCAGACTTATTTGGGATCAGTATAAGTTATGATAGTTATGAAGGCTCAGTCTATCTGCAAGGCTTTTGTAACTCTATAATTTAGAAAAATATCTAAGAGTGGCAAAGTGTGAAGCAAATGCATAGGATTGTCATGTTGAGTTAGAAGTTACAGCCATCTTATCATTTTTGTGAGAGGATTCTTTTCATACTCAGGACTCACAAGCATGTATGGTTTTAGAAGCATGAAGATAAAACAAATAGATAAAGTGTGGTATACTTGCCAGTCCATGGTCCAAAATGCAAATATGAGACAGTCACTCGAAAAACTGCAAACTCCTACAATATCTGACAGCGAGTTAAAGAACTACGAGCTCCTGCAGTGTGTGACAGAAAGTCCCTCCAAATTAAACAATCTTAAGAAATGAGTTAAGCAACCCTGACCACAATTACCTTAAGTTCCCAAAGTTTGCAAAGTACAGGAGTATTTCTGGGAGAAATGTAAAAAAGCAGGATGTTCCTCACTTTTCAAACTCTGTATCTGTGCAAGTGTAATGACCAACATAGTTGTGCATAGTCGAACGTGCTTATTCTTAGGGCCAAATCGGAGGGCTGGGAGAGAAAAGGCTCTGAAGAGATAAGGCTTGTTTGGGGGAACTTGGATAAGTAGATTACCTAGCAGATTACCTAGATTAACTGTGTGTCTTTCTTTTCCAGGATCGCTTGTAATGCTGCTGGCCATGTGGAGCCTGCTCCTGTGGCAGGACGTGGCTGCCCAATCTAACTCTACCAATGAGACTGGCTACCAAATATCCCTCCTGGATCTGTTGGATCGTGCAATCACCCTGTCTCACTACATCCACACCCTCTCTTCAGATCTCTACCAGGAAGTTGTAAGTACTTCTCTTTTCTTCTCTTCTTAAAAGGGGCCTTCCCACTAATGATGGATAAAGGGTATGATTTAAATATAAATACCTCATCACTAAAATTTTAAATTATATTGAGTAATGCATTAAAGAATGGACCAATCAATAAAATGGGTAACACAAGGAAGAAAACATTTAGGAAATGTATGATTGTCAAAAATTCTGATGATCATTGGAAAAACTTTCCTGAAATACTTTATTTTTAAAAATGTAGACACCTGTCACAAATACCTTTTAGGTGTGCTAATTTCTTATTATTCTGGTCAGTGCCAGTCCATGGCCTTTCTTCCCTGGACACACTGTGGAGGTCCAAGAAGTGAGAGCTGTAGTTCAGTGAGCAAGGGGCTGGGGCTCAGAAACAACAGGCTTCCACCCGGAATGTGGCCCCATGTTTGTGAGAAAGTCTGTCCATCTGTCTGTCTGTCTGTCTGTCTGTCTCTGTCTATCTCACCACACAATTCTTTTTATGCATTCATGTTTTTCTTTTGCATTTTCAACTCAACTTCAGTTGCCTTTGGAATCTTCTAAAAAATCCTTTTCAACTTCCACAAATTTGATTATTATCAGTCCTTATAATTTATTGGTATTAATCTCAGTTTATTACAGGGAATTTCAATGATTTCTTTGTTTTATGACTTGAATTTTTTACAATAAATATTTTTATTTTGCATTCATGATCAGCTTCTATGATCGAGGTATGTGGATTAAGAGGCAATTGAAAGAAAATTATAATTTTTATATAAATTTAAGCAAAGTGTATCAGTTTGAGCCCCAGAGAATCTAGAGATTAAGGAGGTAAACAGAGTTGCATATGTATCTTGGCCTTTGTGTCAAATGCTAGAGAAAAGTGAATCTTCACCGACACTCCCTTTGTAGCTTCAGTGTTTTTCATGCTTGTGTTCCACATCTTAACTCATGGCAAGACTGAGGAGACAATGGCATTGGGAAGGGAAGATGGTGGGAGATCAGAAAAGTCAGCTGAGAAACAGTGAGGTTCCAGCGGTAATGGGAAAAGGTAGGCAGAAAGGTTGCTTTCCTACTATGGATTCAGACTTCATGGAGCTCTCCTTTGTAATCAGTTTCAAAGCCATTAAATGTGATAACATTAAGCAACAGGATTTGGATTTTCCTTCCCACACCCAACTCACTGAATTTCTCATTGTTTCCAGGAAACTCTTCACTCTCAGGACATAGACTTCTTTGCTGTGTATACAACACAGTGTCACACAGCCTCCATCTCCACACCAGCGAATAAGGAACAGGCCCTGAAGATCCAGGTGAGTCCCCAGCCCAGCTGCACCAGGCCCCCCTTAGGCAGTGACTCACTTTGTGTCCTGTGGGCTATGAGAGCTCTGTGGTCAGAGGTGACGGGAGTTACATTGCAGAGAAAAGTGGAGGGAGAGCCAAGAACAACCACAGGGTGCCTGGAAACAATTCGGGAAACCAAAGGCTGAATAAGTGTTGTGCAGGATCTATGTGTTATAAGGCAGATGATATTTTAACCAATACTCCGCACTGAGGAGTTTGTGTAGCAAATGCGGAGCCGTTTGTCTTAGTAGAGGTTACTGTGACTCCTGCGTTTGTGGGGTTTACATCACTGATGCCTCTGTGATCTGTGCCATCTCTGCTGGACTCCTAGCAGCCTCCTTCTCTTTTTGTTTCTGGTTCTCTGATGCTGACTTCCTCCCTGTGCACTCACCCCTTCTCCCTGCTGTGTCCCAACTGAAATTCCTCCTGCTGTGCGTTTCCTGCAGAGATCATGTCACAGTTCTCACAGGCGTGACTCTCGTCTCTGTTCTGATGACCAGAAGGACAGCCTGTGAAACCCTAGTAATTTATCCATGCTCTAAATTTTTCCTTTTATAATCTATTTCTTGATTTTCTACTATGAACAGAGTGTTAACATGATTTTAAATGAAAACATGGAACTGCAGAGAGAAAACAAACTTGAATGTTACCAATAACAAAGCTTAGTAGAGTAGTATTTATCTTAATAGTCCAGTTTTATGTGTTTGTTTGACTGTAGAAAAAATTGTACATTTTAAGAGCATCTTAAGAAAGATTTTACACACAGACCCAGGACCATCTAAATATTTAAGGTCAGCTTCTCTGAGCAGAGGTCGCATGTAACTAACCTGGCTGTTTCTTGCCCATGTCCCTGGTTACTCCAACCTGACTGCCCAGCCAAAGGATTTTATAATCCTGGTGATCCGCTTGCTGCACTCTTGGGAGGAACCCCTGAGCCACCTCATGATCGAATCAGTTCGCCTGCCACGTGTCACCCTCAGTTTCATTGAGAAAGCTCACTCTGTACAGGAGTACATACAGCTTCTTCTAGAAGGCTTGAAGCAGATCACCAGACGGGTAGGTAGCCTCCTGATGCTTCCTTGGTTTTCAGTTTTTGGGATCCCCTCTCTGTTGGGAAATACAGTAGCATTCCCTGGTTTGCAGGAATAACATTTAGGTTGAATATTGCACCTTCAAATCTTTTATTCAGCAAAGCATGAGCCATGGCCAACAGTACAGATTCCAATGTGAATGAGTCTCAGGATTCATGGTGCTGACAGTGTCCCCTTCCCTGCCCTGCTCTGTCCATGAAGCCACCAGGACTGGCCTCTTCATGGAGTGGTGGTCAAACATTTACAAGGGAAGGAAAATCAGAGAAGAGCACTAAAAGATGGGTTTTCCTCACAATATTTTAGGACTCCCACAGTGAAATTCTGGTCAGGCTCTCTCTTTTCCTCACACCAAAGTAGGTTAAAACCTCAGTTTGCTAGAATAATTCCTTCTGCTCATGATCCGAAGCACTGGTACCTGAGCAGTGAGAGAAGACTTGGTTGTGATCATGTGATGTTTGGTCATGCACTATTCATATGCAGGACATTGCTGGTGTATGAAATTAAATGTTTGCTTGTCTTGTGGACCTCTTACAAACCAAGCTCCTAATATTCCCAGGTTGTACTATATTTTTGGGGAAAGGGAAACATCAGTATCAGATTGGATGGTTCTTCCAACCCCCTGAGCCTTGAAGAGACTGAGGGGGCCATAAGCATTAATACTTAAAACTGCTAAGGTGACCCTTGTGTGTAATGTTCTTCATTTCACAATTTATAGTGTTATCCTAAATTATTTTGTTGTCAGTAAATTATCTACTATTGCATTAAATCACCCTGGACAATTTAATGATTGAAATTACTTGATTGAATTACTATTTTCAATATGCATTTGCATTCAAATAAGACAATTTCAACAATGGTGCGATGACACATAAGCAGCTTCTGAAGTTCTCCGAAGTGAAGAATCATTAAAATAAGATTTTAATTACAGAAATGACAACATAAGTAATGATATATTTCACTTTTTATGTCCTAAGTACTTGTTAATGTGTACCATTTTTGTCATTGTTATGAAAGTAGGTTATCTCCAACTCATGTGCACACTGTAAAATAAATAATATATTAATCCAGGCAGAAAATAAATGCCTTAAATTTTCGACTTATTTTCTTCATGATTGAGAACAAAGCTATAGTGGTCACTAATTTGTTCTATGATGCTTTATCCTCTGTTAATTTTTCCTACCAGTTATTCATTTGTTCCTGTTGTCATCTGCATACATTTTGCAGTAAATTTGGAAAAGTAAAAAAAAAAAAAAAGAAACAGAAATTGAGATAACCAATACAAAAACAAAGACACACAACACACACACACACACACACACACACACAGATTTTAAATCGCAATAAAAAGTATTCTTACTCTGAAAGAGGAAGTTCAGCAGATCCAGTCTAGAATTATCTCAGATTTGTTCATACCAGTTCTGCACATCACCTGACATTTTTACGGACACAAAGGTGAGTCCTGGGTCTCTTAGATCTCTGGCGGTTCTCAGTTTGCAGAGCCCTACAGAGGACAGGGGCTCTACTCTTTCTGCCTTGCACTGTGTAGGACTTTTTGGAAGCACCACCTAACCCTGGCTCACACAATGGGTCCCTAAACAAGCAGGGCTGCTGCCTGCATCTCCTTCTCACAGGTGCAATTCCAGCAACTCTAACCCTGGGCTGCTCCGGAGAAGCAGCTTCTCCTCATGGAAACCTGGAAGGTGGACTCCTGAGTGGAGTGAGAGAATCATAACTTAGTCCAGATTTGATCGCCTGTACCTTAAAGCACCAAGGGCAGCTCATCATCTCTAAGTTATTTTCTGCACACACTATATGAACAATTGATCCGGTTACAAGCCACAAAAAATAAACAGTGAACTATCAGGAGAAATAAAATACAAAGTAATCATCTGGGACAAATTTCAGGAGATGTTAAGTCCCTGAATTGAGACAATGGAAGCTTTCCTTTGTATTGTCCCTAGGCCAAATGCATGCACATTCAAATAGCAATGTTCTAGATATCTGGTTTCCACTCCCGCAGATGCACACTTCACCTGTGATCACGTGCATATCAGGAAAACAACTCAAGTGTTCTTCTAGCTTCTGGATGACTAGTAGTTTTACTATACCCTGGATAAGATATGTGAAAACTCACACCTTTAGCAAAAATTTTACATTTTCATCTCTTCTCAAATCATGATTGACAATTAAAAGATTCAAAGAGAAGTAATACTGTTAAAACAAATAATAAATGCTGTCTTTTTGGTATCTAGGTTGCTCCTCAAATCAGAAACTATGGGAACTCTCCTGTCTGGACCCAACTTCCCTCTCTGCAGTCATCTGATGGAAAAGAGAGCCTGAATACTTTTCATCACCTGTGCCGCTGCCTGCGCAGGGACACGCATAAGGCTGAGACTTTCCTAAGGGTCCTGAAGAGCCAAGTTGCCAGGCACAGCAACTACTAAGCTTGTATCCATTTCTACTCTTTTCAGATGGCTCTTAACCATCAATTTCTTAGAAAGCTTCTTTTAGTTTCATGGAATTTCATGCACTTTGGGTGTAATCGTGTAAAATTTCTGATCTTAAAAAATAAAACCTGAGTATTTAGCATTGCCAAAATATTAGAAATCAATGTGTCAAAAGTTCTTTCCTTAATCTAACAGAAATAATCATTACTATTGAGAAGTTGCTATTGATATTTCTCAGAAGTAGCAAACATAGCACCTTAAATATGAAATTAACAAGTGCTTTAGAATCTTGGTGAATGAATGTGGGTCAAGTTATGAGGAATGAGGAGTGAAATTTCTCTCAATCATTGCAGTCATACTTATGGTTAAATGAACAGTTCATAAACACCAGCCATGTTCTAGCATTCACAACACTTTGATTCATGGTACAGTTTCTGTTGTAAATGCCTTGTCCCTACATAGAATGAGACATAAGGAACTGTGCAGCACCTGTTACAGTGCAACCATGGCTTGGCTGTAGACTTCATCAACAGCTGCCATCAAACATGTTCCATTGCATTCCTCTCCTTATCTTCAGCTTGGAAACACTCCATACACTCCATTCACTTGGAGTGTGAAAAGTTCAGGCAGACTAGCTTCAACTCCATCTCATTCTCAGTTCTTTAAAACTGCCTTCTTTTTTTTTTTTTGTATTAGGGATCAAATTCAGGACATTCCACTTGTGAGGCAGGCAGCAGAACCACTGAGCTAAATCCCCAGCCCTACTGCCTTACCTTTGTATGGTGACTTAAGGGACACAGGGAAAGCAGATAAGGGTTTTCCTATAACTTTCCTCCCACCTTCTTCTCAAACTCCACTTCTCAGGAGCAATGGGCTAGAGAAGCAGAGAAATGAAAATGTTTGATATTGCAAATATGTGCAGGGATATCATATGCTTCCCATCGCTGACAAGGACACTCTGTCTTCCCTCTCAGTGGCAAGTGTGTCTCTTGTGGAGCACACTTGTGATTCTCCAAGACACCACCAGGGACCAACACCCTGTACATTGCATTTTTCAGATGTATTTTGCAATATTCTGGCTTGATTCTGCTATGCACCGTCAAGCCCTACCACTGGTAGTATTCTTTCCAGTCTCTGCCACTGTGCTCTGACCCTGAGGACACCAGGATGAAGGGAAATGGCTCAAGCTCAGCCAGCTGCCACAGAACTCCCAAGACAACTACTACATCATCTCCACCCCAAGCTTCAGATGGGCACAGACACTGAAGCACTTCCATCCCTCCAAGGTCAAACCAGCTCTGTTCTCTCATTGTTCATGCAGACATATGCTGGATCAGGACATGGGGCTCATTAGCGCTATTTAGGATATCATTTTGTCTGCACACAATGGCAGCTTAACTTCTTCCATCCCAATATTCATTGCTTTTATTTCTTTCTCTTTTCTACTTGCTGTGGCTAATGTTTCCAAAACTATTTTGATCAGGAGTGGTGATAGTGGAATTCTTGCCTTGTTCCTGATTTTAAAATGAATATTTTCAGTTTTTGACTATTCAGTATGATGTTGCCTGTTGATTATTCTTTATAGCTCCCCCCACTTTTTTGAGACAGGGTCTCATATGTAGTTGAGACTGACCTGGAACTCATGCAGCCCAAGCTGGTCTCAAACTCATAACAATCCTTCTTTCTCAGCCTCCTGAGTACAGGGATTGCAGGCATACACTACCCTGCACAGCCTTTATCAAGTTGAGATAAAGACCATCTATTCCAATTTTCTGCAGGGTTTTTAAAAATCATAAATGGAAGTTGAATTTTGTTGGATGCTTTTTCTTCATGTATTTTGATAATCATATGATTTTTGTCCTTAACACTGTTAATATAGTGTCTTACATTTCTTGATTTACATATGTTGAACCATCCTTGCATTCCCGGGAGAAATCTGACATGGTCAGGGTGTAATGATATTCTTGATGACCCTTAGTATTCTGTTTGCCAATATCTTATTGAGGATTTTTGCATCTATATTCATTTGTGAGATTGGCCTTTAGTTCTCTTTTTTGGTTGGGTCTTTCCCTGGTTTTCAAATCAAAGTAAAACTTGCTGCCAGGAATGAATTTGGAAGTATTGCTTCACTTTCAATATCACTGAAAAGTTTAAAGAATAGTGCAAAAGTTCTTCTCTAAAAGTCTTGCAGAATTCAGAAGTGAAACCATCAGGACCTGGGCTTTTATTGTTGGTAAATTTTTACTTATGTTTTCAATTTCATTGATTATAATTGGGGTGTTTAGAATTCTTATATTTTCTTCATTCAACTTTGGTAATTCAAATGTATCTAGAAATCTGTCCATTTCTTCTATACTTTTCATTTTATTAGAGTATGGTTTTTCAAAGTATGTATTGATGAGCCTCTGGATTTCTGCTGGATCTGTTGTGACTGCACCCTTTTCATTCACAATTTTATGGGTTTGAGCCTTTTGTTTCCTTTTGATAAGTTTGGTTAAGGGTTTATTGATTTTAGTCTCTTGAAAAATCAACTCGTTTCACTGATTGTTTTTATCATTCACTTAGTCTCCATTCCATTGATTTCTGCTTTGATCATTACAATTTTTTCCCTTGTGCAAACTTTGGGTTTGTCTTGCTTTTCTTTTTCTAGGAGCTTAAGATGTAGTATTAGTTTGTTCATTTGAGGTCACTTATTTTTCCTACTGTGGACATTCTCTGCTATGAATTTTCCACATAAGATTGCTTTCAGGTGTCCCATATATTACTATATATTGCATTGGCATTATCATTTTTTTTCATTGAGTTTATCGGTACTTTTTAAGTACACAGTACAGTTACATTTATCATTGTGATCTTGTACCTTTGCATGACATGTCTTGATTCTCATTTTTTCCCCATACCCCTGTCTTCCCTTCACCCCCTCCACCCTTCCCTATTTACAAAGACTTTGTTTCCATTTTTTCATTTTCTCATGTTTTTTTTTTTTTTTGGTCTTTTCCCTTATTTGCCTTCCCCTACCCTTCCTACTTCCCCTACACATTTAGCCCTTTTCTTCCTCTTTTGCATCATCAATTATACTATTTGGATCTTATTTACACTTTTAGTTTTTCACACCAGAGAAACTATTCAGTATTTACATGTGTGTGTCTTATTTATCATTTATTTGTAAAAAGTGTATAATTTCTTCTTTAATTTTCTCTGTGACCCATTGTTTGTTTAGGAGAGTTTTATTTAATTTTCAAGTATTTGTGAAGTTTCTGTGGTTTCTTTTGCTGTTGATCTCCAGATTAATTGCACAGTGTTTGGAAAATATACACGGGATAACCTCAATTCCTTTACATTTACTTAAACATGTTCTATGAACTAGTATATGTTCTGCAAGGAGAATGACCCATGTGCAGCCAAAAATAATGTATATTCTGATTTTGTGGGGTGAAACACTCTATAGACATCTATGAAGTCCATTTGTTGAAAAGTTTGGTTCAGTTTTAGTATTTCCTTGTTGATTTTTGTCTAAATGATCGTTTATTTGTGACACTGGGGTCTTGAAGTCCCCAACTGCAATTGTATTAATGCTTATTTGGTCTTTCATGTCCCTTAATACTTGTTTTGTTTATCCAGGGGCATTAGGATTTTATATATATA